TGTAGCGTCTCCTGCTTGGGCAGGGGGTTGGACTAGATGACCCATAAGGTCCCTCCCAGCTCCGTTAATCTGAAATAGGGGTGAATCCCGCACAATCTCTTTGGTTGCGTTCTGAAGTGGAACACCCCCCCCCAGCTTCTGTGCCTGCTTCCTTTGGGGGGGGGGGAACAGGAATTCTGCTTGCCATCCAACACCCCCCCCCCCCCGCTCCCACCCACGAATTTCCCATGGCTTCAAACGCCCGCATGAGCCGCCTCCCCACAACTTAGAATCTCCATCTTTGGCTTAAACTTTGCAAAAGTTTCATTGGTGGCATTCAGCCCGGTTTGGGCCAACCGGTAGTGGTCCTATTGAGCGACATTTTCTAAGCCGCACATGCGAGCAAACCCGTTTCGGGGGGCGCTAAAATTATTTGAAACCCACCTCTGAAAATTTCCCCGCCCCAAACTTTGCAGGGGAAGCAACCCGCCATAAATCAGACCTTATTCATTTCTCTTTCTTTCATTAACCCGTTCATTTGTTTTACTAACTCGTCCGTCCATCCATCATTGCTCTCGTCCGTCCTTTCTTCCTCCGCGTTTGCATGTTTGCGTCCTGCCTGTCCTTTCACCGTCAGAAGAAAGAAAGCAGCCACGAAACCGAAATCCTTGTAAAAGTCCAGGTGTGGGGGGGAAGCGGCGGTGGGGGGGGGCTTCATTTGGGGAGGGGGCGTTGTGGGAGAATGTAGGGTTTAATGGGTGGGGGACCGGAGTCTAAAACACGGAGGAGAAGTTGCAAAACTTTAAGATCGGTCGTATCTTATTCGGGGGGTGCCGATGCTTCGAAGGCGCCGTAAATAAAAATAACGGGAAGATTCTTTTATTTTCACGGGGGTTTATTTGGGCTGGGGAGGGGGCAAAACTCGGGGGCTTCTCTTTTGACACCCCCCCTTTTCACCTTCCCAGAAAGAGGAGGAGGCGCAGAAGCTGGGAGAGTTGGCCATGTTTCCCGCCGATGGGAACATCGATCTCATGTACTTCCCGTATTATGGAAAGAAAGTTCAAGTGAGTATTGAATTCTTCCCCCTCCCGCGAGGTGCATGCTGGGAAATTCCCAGGTTTTGGGTCCATAGGATGCTCCCCGCCAGCGGTGGGTTGCTGCCGGAATTACTGCTGGCTCTGTGCGCAAAATTTTTTGCAGTCAAACAGGAGGTAACCCACCTCTGGGAAGGATACTGTAAAATCTTCATTTACCCCCCCTCCTGGGGGCGGGAGGTTACCGCAAAGTCCCCATTTCCTCCCGATTAGCTGGGACTCTGGAGGCAGAGAAGCGATGGGGCGTGGCCAGCCAGAGGTGGTATTTACCAGTTCTCTCAACTACTCAAAATTTCCACTACCGGTTCTCCAGAATCGGTCAAAACCGGCTGAATCCCACCTCTCGTCGTAGTCACTTCCTTTCCCTACCCGTTCGCAAATGTGACCTTGTTCATACATGCGCTTGGACTTCTGCGCATGCGTGCGTCTTGAAAACATGTCTAAATAGGATGGGATGGAGCTGGGACAGGTGGATTTTTCCGACCAGTTCGAACGGACCGGTACAAACTGTCTGAATACGATCTCTGGAAAAAAGTTTGTCCTAACTTTTTCTCCCTTTGTCTTCGGAGGGTTGAAAAGATTATTTTTTCTTTCTTTCTCGATTTCTTTTCTTTCTTTCTTTTAAATCCCTCCCCAAAATCAGGTCAACTACACCCAGCCCGTGGTGGCCATCAAATTCCTCAACCTGACCTTCAACCACGACCACAATGTGGAGTGTAAGATGAACGCCGTCAACATCGCGACCAACGACGAGCGAGACAAATTCGCCGGCCGGGTAGCTTTCAAAATCCGCGTCAACAAAGACTGAAGCTGACAACGTCCCCCCCCCCCATTCCATCCCCCCCACCCCCACCCCTCTTCCTCTTCCCATCTCCTG